TACCAGAGATTTTTCTGAGTATTTTTGCAGTTATACAAGAGTACTTTATAGCTTAGGCACAGGGGAATCTGTTATTAATAAGCCAATGCAACTTAGAGAGTTAGAGCTTATTTTGAACTTTTTTGGCTTCAAAAGGCTTGCGCCAAGTTAGTCGCACATCTAGGTGAATATCTAAGTACGTTATATTATTTGCTTGTAGTATGGGGATATTATTAAAGTCATTGACTTCGATATAAGGTAAAAGTGACGTGTTTACATTTTAGTTCATTAATTTTATTTCGCCATTTTGACAAATATTTCACCATCCAAAATAAATGAGATTGAAGTTGCTTTGAAGCCAAGGTTTTTGTGTCGGCGTGATATTGCCGTATTATTGACAAACGTTGTGCCGATGACTAAAGTGCATACAGGATACGGCCGAAAACAGTTCCTCGTGGAACGCCAGTATTCAAGTTTCACGTCATAACTAAGGAAATACATAAGATGTTTCGTTTTTGTTTTATTTATTTTACTTTATTGAAGCTGAGTATGTGTGCAATATTTATCGGTTATTACCACCACTGGTTAACGGTCGCTGATGCAGCTGCTAATATATTTGCTGTTGGTGCATTTGTAATACAAGCAGTTTTAGCACCTTGCAACTGTTGATGTTTCTGCTGTTGTTGTTGTTGTGGGTGCTGCTGTTGTTGTAAAATATTTCGTTGATGTGGAGCTAATTGTTGTTGCTTGTTGTGTCTGCCTGTAAGTAATTCAGTAACCTCCATCTATTCAATAAAAACAACATAAAAAAAAATTATCCAACAGTAATCTTCAACTACTTATTGTCCTTTTTAAATTTAGAAAAGCATTCATCATAAAGTATTAGGAGAGATCGGTCTCCTTTGGTAATAATAACGGCAGCAGCCGTTGAGTGGCCTGTTCTAATCTGGTTAGAATTTAAACTGCACGTTCTTTCTCTTGGCAATCCTTTATTACACATCATCCTTACGATTTCCCCCTCTGTTCGTACACTTATCGATAAAGGGTGAATCAAAATGAGCAAGTCATAACATTAAATCCAAGCCTTTATCTGCTTTGACAGTTGAAGGCATGGAATGATGTTGTTTTTGTTTTTTTTTTTCTTTTGTTGTGTGACCGCCGCACGTAGAAGCACCATTGAAGTTCAATTATAAGAAAAATAGAAGTTTAATAAATTCTAAAATAAACATACATTTTTTGGCGCCCAACGTGGGGCTCGAAGTTGACGGGTTGTCGTGTCATATTTTTTGTGTGCAGTACAAGTTTCGTTGGCTTGCAAAGTAAAATTGTTTCGTTTTTTCTCTAAACGTTGGATTTGGTTTGTATTTTATCACATATATAAGATATAAATTTAGTAAATTGACATTTAACCAGCTTCGAGTTTATTAATAACTACGTTCAAAGTTGTAGATATGGCTGAATTGAGTTCACTAGTCATCAAATGTAAGGTGATAGAGACCAATGTTACTAGGATAAAGAATTTGTTATCATGTGTGATGTCACATGCGGAATTGGAATGCAGGTAAAGCTTAATCGAAGCTTATTTCAAACAGTTGTTAGCGATACAATCGGATATTGAAGCGTTGAACGATAAAGATAACGCTCGTGTAGAAATAGAAGAACTTTGCATTTTAGCGAAAGCAAAGGCTATTGAACTTTCAGGTGACGACTTTAATCGAAGTCGTGGAGAGTTAGCGTTACACATTCCAAGCAGAAGCTCGAACAATTTACCAAAACTCAAATTGCCAAAATTTACAGGAAAATACGCAGAGTATCAAAACTTTATATCATCCTTCAAGCAATTAGTTAACGAAGACAAGTCACTCTCCAACATAGAAAAGTTTAACCACTTGATTCAATGTCTTGAAGGACAAGCACTTGATACCATTCGTTCATTTCAGATTACGACAGAAAATTACGAAAAGGCTCTGAACAGATTAAAAGAATAAAACTTTAATATTTATGGAACATATTATAGATCTATATAGCTTACCAGACGTACGCAAAGCGTCATCAATTACTTTGCGCAGTTTAGTTGATAGCGCATCAGCTATATTCAGTTCTCTCAAATCACTTGGAGACGACAAAGACATATGTGATGGAATGTTGATTCATTTAATATTGAACAAGTCCGATTCTGAAACGCAAAGACAATGAATGAGAAATTAGATTTATCAGTGTTACCTACGTGGAATGAATTTTCTCAACATATGGAAAGACGGTGTCAATTTTTAGAATCAGTTAGCCCGGATACAATAGAGAATACAAAACAAAAGCAAAAAGGTTACGTTACCCTCCAAAATAACCGTTCATCGTTTCATACACGCATCCGAGATAAAAATTGTGTATCATGTAAGAGCGGGGACCATTGGCTAAGTGGTTGCAAACGATTTATTGAAATGGATGTGTCGCGAAGATTTGACACTGTTAAAAAATTGGGTATTTGTATAAACTGTTTATCAGAAGGACACATCGTGGCTAAATGTCCATCAAAACATTCTTGCAAAATATGCAACAAACTACATCACACACTGTTACATCGCTCAGATATCTGTAGACAAAACATGGTGGAGTTGAATCAGCATCAATCAATGCACATATTAAAACTGTAGCACACAAGGTAATTTTGGCAACAGCAATTATTCTGGTAAGGGACTCGTTGGGTGCATTTAAAGTAGGAAGAGCATTGTTAGATTCATGTTCACAGGTGAACTTAATGACTGAATCCTCCGTTAATATGCTGAAACTATAGAAGAAAAAGACATCAGTAGAGGTTGTCGGTGTTGGGTGTACGTCCTCGAAGTTAAAGTACGAGACGCAAACGACAATTAGATCGCGATTTAATGATTCAGAATTTGATTTGAACTTTCTAATTTCAAATCGCCTGTCTGGGTATCAGCCTGACTCAGCATTAGATATTCGCTCTTGGCAATTACCGTCGAAAATCAATTTAGCTGACGAGCACTTTCATAATTCTCATTGACATGTTAATAGGAGCTGATTGCTTCTTCGAAATGTTACGCAGTGGGCAATTAAGGTTGGGCCGTAATTTATCAATGTTACAAGAAACAGTTTTAGGTTGGATAGTGTCAGGATGGTACAGTTCATCGAAACATGTTATCAATAAGTCATATCATATAACCAAGGTAGATACTGATATCGAATCAATCAATAAAAACTTAGAGTATCTGTGGCTATTACAAGACACAGCCAGTATACGTAAGAAATGGAACGAAGAAGAGCAATTATGTGAAGAAGCATTTGTGAAAACTACTACCACTTTACCAGATGGTAGAATTGAGGTTCAATTACCGTTTAAAGAATCGCCTTTATTACTCGGAGACTCGTACAATGTAGCATTAAAGCGTTTTCATTCGTTGGAAATACGTTTATCCCACAATTGTGAATTAAAGTATCAATATACAAACTTTATGAAAGAGTATGAGCAGTTAAATCATATGACGGAAGTGCGAAACGTAAATCTGAAACAGCCTCATTATTTTATACCTCACCATTACGTACTCAAACCAAGTAGCACAACCACGAAATTACGAGTGGTGTTTGATCAACTATACAATCGGAATTATATTTGCATGTTATGCGTTTTCGATTGAAAAGATTCGCATTAAGTAGAGATATAACAAAAATGTACAGAATGATTCGAATACATCCTGACTGCCGTTCTTATCAGCAAATATTATGGCGAGAGACTGAAGATAATCCAATTCGCGTGTTTCAGTTGAATACAGTAACCTACGGTTTATCCGCGTCACCTTTTTTGGCGATAAGGAGTCTTCAATATATTGCGGAAAAGTGGGAAACCGAATATCAATTGGGTTCACATGTGCTAAAAAACCATTTCTATGTGGACGATATGTTAACGGGAGCTGATGACTTCAATGAACTACAAACAACACAATACGAAATTACGTCAATATTAAGAAAGGCTGGTATCGAAATTGCAAAAATACAGTCAAATCATCCATCATTCATCACCAATAATAATGAATTAAAAGACTTAAATTTACATGAACCAGCAATTACTAGTACGCTTGGTATAAAATGGGATTCAAATCAGGACCAGTTTTTATTTTCGTACACTCCGAGCAAGACATACACGTCATTAACCAAACGCTCAATTTTGTCGATCTCATCGTCTAATTTCGATCCGATGAGATTGATTGCTCCCATAATTATTAAGTCACGAGTGTTATTGTAAGATTTATGGATTATGAAGATAGACTGGGATACAGTAGTTCCACAACAAATTGGAATTAGATTCGAAAATTTCATCAACGACCTAAATAATTTGAAATCAATTAAAATACCTCGATATGTATTACAAACAGATATCATCAACATGCAACTATATGGATTTTGTGATGCTTCAATTCGAGCTTATGGATGCTGGTTTTATGTGCGGGTTTGTAATCAACAAGGACATATTTCAGTAAACTTATTGAAGGCACGAAGTCGGGTGGCTCCGGTAAAGAAAAGAACCCTACCTCAATTAGAACTTTGTGGATCGCTTATACTAGCTCAACTATATAGCGAAATTGCGCCGATATTTAGCAATATATATTTCCAAACATTTCTGTGGACAGATTCGACTGTCGTATTACACTGGTTGCAACACCATTCCTCCACATTAACAACGTTTGTGGGAAATCGAATTTCTGAAGTACAAGAACTTACTGCAAATTGTTCTTGGAGACATGTTCCGACTTCAATTAACCCCGCTGACGTAATATCACGAGGATGTTCAACTAGCGAATTATTGAAATCCAACTGGTTATCAGGGCCAGCATTTCTAAATCGAGAGTATGAGGAATGGCTAGACTCATGTATAAGTAACACTCAATGCAAACGAGAAGTAGATGGTGCAATTCGGAAAATAGTTATGATATGTGAAACACCCACAAATCAAGTGCTACAATTCATAGATCGGACCAGCTCATATCTTAAAGTACTTCGTGTTATTGGTTGGTTGCTTCGTGTGCGTAGCCGAGTTAAACAAAAGGGTCCTGGTCATCAACCTAATTTCACTAGTGATGAGTTACGACATTCTTTACATTGCATCATTTGGATCATTCAAAGCGAACATTTCTCTAATGAAATTCATTGTATAAACAACAACGTGGAAATTAAGACTTCGTGAAAACTCCTACTCTCTTTATTCAAGAGGTGGATGGATTTCCATTGCTTCGTGTTGGTGGACGCCTTATGCATGCGAGTAATTTAGAAGAAAGAAAACACCCCTTTTTATTACCAAGACATTGTCATTTCGTTAAGACTTTGGCTAGACATCATCATATTGAAAATTATCATGCTGGTTCTAAGGCGTTAATTGCAATTTTACGATAACGATATTGGATCTTCAATGCTAGGGGATCAACTAGGATAATAGTACATAATCGTATCAGCTGCATACGTTATAAACCAAAATTGTTAAGCCAGATAATGGGAGATTTGCCTGAGTCCCGTGTGACGCCAGGCAAATCATTTGAAATATGCGGAATTGACTTCTGTAGGCCTATTTCAACTTACTTGAAAATTCGAGGAAAACAGCCCTATAAATGTTATGTAGCCATTTTCGTGTGTTTCACAACTAAAGCCGTTCATATTGAAGCAGTAACAGATCTGTCATCAAATGCATTTATTGCTGCGCTGAAAAGATTCATTGGTCGCAAAGGACCACCTGCAGAAATTTATTGTGATAACGCTACGAAGCTTTACTAGCGAAGCGTATAAAAATCATGTCATTAATTTCTGTTCAAATAAATCAATATCCTTTAACTTTATTCCACCTAGAGTACCACATTTTGGAGGTATCTGGGAGGCCGCCGTGAAGTCTGCAAAGGGGCACCTGTATCGTACGTTGGTGAACAGCAAGTTAACATATGAAGAGCTCACTACCGCTCTCGTAGAAATCGAAGCAATCTTGAATTCCAGACCGATTTCACCTGTGTCGTGGGATGCGAATGACCTCGAAGCTTTGACACCAGGTCATTTTTTGATTGGGAGTCCTATGAACTGCATCATTTAACCAAACATTAATCAAAATGTGGAAGTGTCATACCTCGAACGATGGCGGCGCATTAGTGCAGTGAAACAACAATTTTGGATCAGGTGGTCAAACGAGTATCTCAACGAACTGATTCAGTGCAATCGATGGACTAAGGTTACCAATAATTTACATACAGGGACGCTTGTTTTGATTCATGAAGAAAACATGCCACCAATCGTATTGGTGACAGGTCGCGTGACAAAAATCATCCAGGGCAAGGATGGTAAAGTTCGTGTTGCCGATATCCAAACAAAAAAGGGGATCGTTCGTCGTCCAGTTCAAAAATTTGCTATTCTATGTGATCCTTGAAAGACTAATCTTTCAACGTCGGCGGAATGTTCGTACACTTATCGATAAAGGGTGAATGAAAATGAGCAAGTCATAACATTAAATCCAAGCCTTTATCTGCTTTGACAGTTGAAGGCATGGAATGATGTTGTTTTTGCTTCTTTTGATTAGTCTCCTTTTCCGTTTGTTTTTTTTTTCTTTTGTTGTGTGACCGCCGTACGTAGAAGCACCATTGAAGTTCAATTGTAAGAAAAATAGAAGTTTTAAAAATAAATTCTAAAATAAACATACACCCTCAAAATCGGGAAAATCCGATAACAGGTCTGACAGTGCCTGTCTGAGATTGCTGCTCTGTTTCATTTTCATTTTGCTGTTGTTGGACAATATTACGAATTTAAATAAAAAAATTAATGAAATTTGTGTCATAATTATTTCAATGATACATATGAGTTAGCTTCAACTCAATTCAATTTTAAAGCACTATTTCTCAATTTCATAAAATAACAAGATTAATTTTTATAGTATTTAGTAGTGGTAACATTTCTTTTATTATTATTATTATTATTATTTTTAATTATTAATATACAAAAAAAAATTATGTATTGTTGTTGCTGTAAAAAAAAGTTAAAAAAAGATAATTCTATTGCAATATTTATGCTATAAGTAGTTCAATATGCTTTAAAACCAGTACTATAAATAAAAACAAAAAAAGTTATAATTCTTTATATTATTTAACAATAATTATATATCACATTATATAACTTCAAAACTCATAACTCTAATAATAGCAAAGTGGGTAAAAAAACTTGAAGTTAACAATAAAAAAAATAATGTAAGCAAATTGAACCATCAACAACCAAAAACTGAGTAAAAAAATGTTTAAGACACGGTGCCTGTCACACCAGAGAAAAATAGCAAATATATAGAGAAATGACGTCACTTATGATGCTGTTTATCTAGCTGAAACTTTCAATAATAATAAAAAAAATATATATGCATATATATATATATATATATGTAAAATCAAACAAATTTATATGTTTTCTACTTTCTCTTACATACTCTTTTTTTCTTCCTGTTTTTTTCTCTTACACATGTGTTCATGCATAAATTTTCACATCTATATATAATTACGCTAACATAAAAGTTTGTTACCCCGTTTTAACTGTGTTGCCGTTGACATATATGGATAAA